GATAACTTCAGAGAAGTGTATTCAGAATAGATAGATGCGTGTGTTAAGATCATTGAATACAAAGAGAATTAGCTCTATTTATACAGACTCACGAAGTACAATAGATTACATCTCTAACAGTAGCCATGTAAGGCATACTGGACAATAGATAGTATTACAATAAAGACAAGTAAAGTAATCTAGTAAAGTGACTGCGGTAGGTAGAGACTCCGGATGCTGTTGCTGATGAAGGAGCTTGACTGCGGGTGCTTCATGGCTGCGGTAGCTGAAGTTCAAGAGGGTCACTTTTATGATTCAACAATACCCTTGGTCAAAACTGGTCAAAATCAACAAGTCAACCGAGTCAACCCAGCTGAGTCAACTGAGGCTTTGTACGCGGGGCGTACTCCGGATGTACGGGGGGCATACTCGAGGTTTGAGGCATCGGGGCCAAATCTGCATACGCGCAGCGTACCATTTGGTACGCCTTGCATACACAACAGTTCTCTTCTTAAACGATTAAGAGCCTAATCCTTCGACCTAATACATCCAAAAGCGGATCCAAGGCTGAAATACCACTGAGAGTCATAAATTTTCCAACATTATGACTTTTCATGCTCATTAAGTGCTTAATACCAACAATGCCAACTTCTTAACACCTTAAGACCTTCTAAAGCATACATGGGGAAGAACTAAGCACCAAGATCTCATTTTTATTGCTCAAGACCCCTCATTGGGTCTAAAAGGACGACTTATTGGGTCAAGAGCATGCCATGCTCAAGAATCACAAAGGTTGGGACCAAAAATACCCTAAATAAAGGAATATCTAGATCTACATGATAGGATAATCAAGCTAGAAGCTTTTTACCTCCCGGAGGTTGTTAACAAGTAGAGAATCCTACATCCAATCTTCTTCTAAGTTCCAATGTCTTTCTACCACCTTCTTCTTCTTCAAGAACACCACCAATACACACAAATGAGCTCAAAATGCACTCTTCTCACTTAGGTTTAGCTAGAGGGATGTTTTCTCAGGTGGAGGTTGATTAGGGTGAAGGTTGATTAGGGTGAAGGTCTTGGGGCCATAATGTTGTTTAAATAGGGTTCAAACCCTAAAATTTAGGGTTTGGAACCCTCGCATGTACATCCTGCGTACTAGGCTCCTTGCGTATATGCCTTGCGTACGAAGAGTAGGCCCAACGTACTAAGTTCCGGCCATAAATTACCAAAATGCCACCTTAGGCCATTTTGCACTCTTTCTTATGCACAAGGACCAAAATGCAATATTTATTCATACATAGGGTTAAAATTGAAATTACCTCAAAATCAGGATGTTACAAGGGGTTGGAGGGTGCTGGAGGTGGTCGACGATAACAAGTAGGTGGTTGGACGGAGCGTTAGTGGTTGGAACACGATGGTGCACAATGTTGATGTTGCCGACGATTAGAAAAAAAGGGTCGAGAGAGAGAGAGAGAGAGAGAGAGAGAGAGAGAGAGAGAGAGTATGGGAGAAAGGGGTTGCCGACCTCTCTCTTATATAGGGAAGGATGGGTGATGTGGTTCATCACTTTGTTGACAAGTGGCACCATGCAGTGAGTGACAAGTGTCACTATTCTAATGGTGACACATGTCACTTCCTCGATATGCTTGCCATTTTCCGACGAAAAACGATATCTTACATTTTTTTTCGAAAACATTAGTTCGATGTCCACGAAATTTCAGTTCGGAATATGTAAACGTATTTAGCTAACGAAAGATGTAACTATGTCAAAAATGTGTTCGAAGTCATTTGTTGGGGGATTCCCGGTTCAACGATTCGACTAATTTTCGTAAAAGTGTTATAACTTCATGATACATAACTTTCGAAAGTAGAATCAAATATTAGAGTATTGTATGATTCAAAAAACTTGTTCAAAATTACTTAAGAAAATGCAAAGCTATTCCAACGAATCGATTGAAGACTCGTTTATGGGAAAACCATGTGTCGCATTGTTCGTTTTTCTTAAAATGGTCATAACTTTAGCATACAATTTCCGTTTTCGACGTTCTTTATATCCACAGTTACGTGTTCTCATGCTTTGTCTGTTTAAAGTGTTATTTGTAAAAAATAATACTTAATACATAAATCTTATTTTCAATGCATTAATTCATTAATTATGCATAGTGAATAGTGTTTGTTTGTCAACGATCTAAATCCATCAAAGACTAAAGTGGTATTATGTATGCATTTATAAGTGTAAAAACTTCAAATGCATTAAATGTGTGGAATATAATACTTTAGGCCTATTACATTTGTGTGTTCACGGTGACTTTGACTAGTGAACGATGATCTAATATTACCAATTGTCACAGTTTGTTATGGATGAGAGCAATCCTATGAGTAGTTTCATTGATCTGGAGCAAGAAAACGGTAAAGCGGAAGGTGGAGAAGCGGTAAATGTTGGTGATTTTAATGTCGCAATACATTTAGTGTTGTTAGGATTCTATTGAAGACAAACTGAGATCCATTTGGTTATATTCTGAGACAGAAGATAGGAACTGCGCATTCAAATAGCTAATGAGGACTCGGGAATACAGGGGTCCAAGAGCATTGCCCCTGGGGTGGTCTATGAACAATACCTTTAGCGGGGACCATATGGATGAGACCATGGTGGGGTCCCAACCGAATTATTCCATATACAGAAAAAGGGCATAAACGATTTTTTCCTATATAAAACCCAAGGTTTGCATTTGTTGCAAAAGGAGTGTCGTTTCTATTAAAACTGTTCTTTTACATATATTTAGAAGATTTGAATGGTTGAAGAAGAAAGATAGATCACAAATCTGCTTCTTCCCTCTCCAATAATGTCTCTATCAAACACAATACAAAACAATGTATTTTTGTATTTAGGAGTTGGAATAGACCTGTAATTCCAAATCAATTTTCTTGAATTATTACAAATTGGATTTGGTGATACCCCAAATAATAAGGTTGAATTGACAAATTTTGAAAAATACTTTGTATATACAATCCATCAATTATCCAAGTATATACAATCCTTGAATTATCCAAGTATTTTCATTGAGAATTTAACCTAAAATCTAACGATAGATGTTGCTTTGTTCAAGCAAAATGGTAGGGAGTGTCATGTACCTCATTGCCACTCAACTTGGGCAACTTGACCTCATGTTTGTTACAAGTCTAATTCGTTTCATGGCAAATGTTATCCAACATTTTGCTGCATCAAATAAAGTCCTTAGATATTTGAAAATTGATAGGGGCAAAAGACCGTGGAGTGTTTTACAAAAAAACGAGGGACATGAACTATACAAACCGTGGGCTATACAAACAATAACTATGTTGGGGGACATGGACTCATGGAGGATAGCAAGAGCATCTCGTGCTACACGCTTATGATGTGTGGAGGAGCAGCGGTATGGTGTTCGAGAAAACAACCAACGGTTTATTCAATTTGGTTTATAAATAAAGTTTTATTTTTCAAATTATATCATAAATATTAGATAGAAATCCGCACTTATAAAAAATCTACATTTCATTAGATTAAAAAAATATATTTAGAAAAGCATACGGTTTCATGTACATAAAAAAATTTCTATGAAAGATTCATGCCCTGAGCTTGTTAAAAGTCATGCCCATTTTAGAAAACAAAAAATTTAATTGATGAATGTAAAAAGACGCAATATGTACGCATACAATGTTTATACCAAAGTATTTGGTAAAAGCAGGAAAGAAATAATGTCCCATGGGTGATTTTTGTTGGCTTAAATTCTTTACGTTTTCTAGAAAACCATCATTTTTTTTCCAATCAACTGAGACTCCTACACACCATTTACAAAATGCTGCCGTCCGGCGACCAATCCCAGAGCGACGCCGTAGGGGCACCCATTCACGGTGACGTACTGGAAGCTGTTCTCTCCCACCTGCCATTCGTCCACTTAGTTCCGGCGTCCATCGTATGCAAAGTCTGGAATAAAGCGGTCGCATCCACTCTCAAGTCCAAGAAACCCCAACCATGGTTTATTCTGCATACTCAGCGCTCAAGGTCGCCGTATCTGACGACGACGGAGGCCTATGATCCGGTGTCACGCATGTGGATCGAGATTCAACAGCCGCCGATTGATTATGTCTCCGCTCTCCGATCATCACAGTCGAATCTTCTCTATATGTTGTCTCCTTCTAAGTTCTCATTTTCGTTTGATGCGCTCCATCTAACGTGGCACAATGTGACGCCTCCACGCCTAATGCGGATAGATCCTATTGTTGGCGTCGTTGGCAAACACGTCATCGTTGCCGGCGGTGTTTCCGATTTCGAGGATGACCCACTTGCCGTCGAGATCTACGACCTTGAGTCACAAATTTGGACCAACCCGGAACCTATGCCGGAGTTTTTCGAAGAGTCTTCGTCATCAATGTGGACTTCAATCGCCTCCGACGAACGTCGTCTTTTTGTTATGGAGAAAAGCTCCGGCGTATTACATACCTTCGATCCATTGACAAACACCTGGTATGGTCCTTTTGTTTTACGTCCTGATCACCTCGTTTCTCATTTCAGTATCGGATTCTCCGACGAGAAATTGATTCTGATCGGGTTGTTAGTTGATTTCGACGATCCCATCGGCATTAAGCTGTGGGAAGTGAATTGCGAATCATTTGAGTACCATGAAATTGCAGAGATGCCGGCGGCTCTTGTTGAGAAGTTAAAGGGTGATGACTTGCAAATTTTGTCGATCGAAGTTCGTATGGCGGGAAATGTAGCTTACATCTATAAACCGATGCGAGCCGGAGAGGTGATAGTATGTGAACTTTCCGGTGACGATGGTGAGTGTAGGTGGTGGAGCATGGCTAATCTGGTCACCGGTGATCGAAGCATAATGGAGAGGTTCGTTTATACGTGTTCAAAGGTAGGGGTTGAGGATCTGCGGCGAGCCACTGGGTCGATGGTGAATCGGAGATTTCGATTTAAAAAGTGATCCAACGACGTGGAGTTGCAAAGGTGAAAAACGTTCAATCTTTGAAAGCTGATAAGCAATTTCATTAACATTATATTATAACATTCCAAGGGGATGTTTACACGTTTCATTTTCAGTAATTACGATAAGAAAATAAATTGTAACAAAACTGATATAATGTGTTTATATTGTTAAAGATATAATAATTAAGTAATTTGTTGTTAAAAGTTCTGTTATTGTAATTAGACAAAGTTACATAAATGTCATTTCCAATTGGCAAAAAGTACCGGTATAAGTTCTTATAAGAAATTTTGAACACGTATGATCTTATCAATTTTAAAAGTTTTACGATGATTAATATTGTTTGAAAAGTACTTCTATATTTTCTTATAAGAAATTTTGAACAAGTATGATCTTATGGATTCTAAAGTTTTCACGATGATTAACATGAATACCTTTAAAATTACTAATATTTTTTTCTCTTATATGATTAGAATTAAAAAAAAAGTAAGTAAGACAAAAAGTAGTCCCCACTTCTCTCTCTTTGCATGCGTGTTACTTAGGGGCAACAATCATGTCGGGTTCGAGTTGACGGGTCAAAATACATCTACCCGAATACGACGCATTTAATACAAGTCTCGGGTTGGCACGGGTTGGCACGGGTTGGCAGGTTTGGAACATCAATCCGAATACGGCCCATCAACCTGTTTATTTATACGAGTTCGCGGGCCAGATTCGGGCTCACGGGTCAGATTCACTTGCAATGAAGAAACACATATTATGAGGGAGGTGGGTACAAGTAGCAAAACAAGAAATAATGTCAATATGGACGACACTTTTAGCAACGTCGGACCCTTTTAGCGACGACATCGGGCAAACGTGCCTTTTGTCATCGCTAAAGGTCACCGATGTCGCAGAAGGTGTCATCACTAATGTCTTTCCAACGGCGATCCACGTGTTCCACAAGAAAATTGGATTGTGACTGCATCATTGGAGAATGATCCATCGGTTAGGGTTTAACCACGAAATAAGTAATAGGGATGACGGCAATTGCGACGTCTTGTCGTCACTACTAAGGTCGATCCACGTGAACCTCGCCAGAGGAAATCTTGGCCCTACATTTTTTTTGGATCCAACAGATTAGAGTGACAGAAAAAAGCGCGTTTATTTCCCTCCAAATGGTCGTCGCTATTGCCCTAGTGTCGCCGCTAAAGGCGACACCGCTAAAGGTTTACCTCTTTTGTTCCGCCTTCTCGTCCCTGACGACGTGTACCCACTGCCAAAACTCTCCCATTTTTCTTCGGCGACGATTTACGACATCACTACAACGTCCACCGACGCCACTGCTCTCCACCCATTCTTAGATCGTTAAACCACCACCGATTAACCTCCCTCGCCGACTGCCACCTCCGCTTGCCGACTGTCGCATTCGGTTACGACCTACTACCGCCGGCCACGTTCGTTTTTTCTTCTCGTTTCTCTTTCTCTTCTTTTCTGACCAACATTTCACCGATCAATTGTTAATTTTTATTTTTTCTGTTTTTAAGGTAATTGTCTCCGATAAGGATACCACATCACCAACGACTGCAGCTACGTTTTTCGGGCAAGCACAGGTCAGTTTTCGTTTTCACTTCTGAATGTGTATTGTATGTATGTGGATGTGTTAATCATTGTATGTATTGTTGAATGTATATGTAAAATCTATGTACTTTTGAATGTATATATGAAACTATTGAATGTGTATGTAAAAATGTGTGTATTGTTGAATGTGTATGTAAAAATGTATGTACATCCAGCAACTCATATTCTTGTGGTAATTATAAATTTTTGTAAGTAATAATTACAAATTATAAATTTGATTTTGAGGTTCAATGATTTACAAACTAATTATAAGAAAATAATTAGTTTTATTATAGGATATAAAATATAATGTACATCAACTTATTTACATGGAAAAATTTGTCACAACTAGCATTTTAGCTAGGAAATTCTATTATTGTGTAATCATTCAACCATTGTAAAACATATACTCTAGGTAAATATCATTCAGTGTTCATTTAAATTCACCTTTCATGTTCAACAAAGAGTCTGAAAACCCTACGAATCCATGTTTAAGTCCATATTGGACTAGGATTTCCTTATTGGGCCTAATGGACCAATAAGTATTAAATTCAACTATTTTGGGCTTGGAAACCCTATTTGGATTCTAAATGGACCCAATTCACAAATCTATAACATTTTGGACCATTTGGGCCTAGAATGATTCATTCTAACCCTATGGGCCTTATTGGGCCATAGCTAATTCAATTAAACCTAGTAAGCTATAAACCATTCTTTTATGCCATTTTGGGCCGTGAACTACCCTAAAGGCCCAAAGGGCCAAAAACTTCTCTAAGGGCCTCATGATTTCGAGTAAGGATCAAGATTGGGCCAAAATGATTCATCTTCTCCTTCTTAATGTAATTCTCGGCCCATGAGTAAAAAAAAGAAATGAAATAGGGGTTGACTTTGGTGGTGCCACATCCATATTATTCACCATGTAACAAGGCAATTGTTTCTCATATATCCATGCAAACTCATCTCACTCTTTCTCCTCTTATTACATCGGCCGAGAGCAAAGACCACACACACACACATACTTCATTTTCAAACACTCTCAAAGATCATCCTTCTTCCTCTAAGATCTCGAAATTTTGCTAGAATTCTAAGGATCTTCATCAAGTATTTCCAATATTTGGTAAGTTATTATCAAACACAAACATCTCCTTTCATTTTAACATGAAAAACTCCTTCTTACATAGCTTTATTCCATGATCATACCTTAGAAACTTCATAAGCTTGAAAACTACTTCAAGGTGTTGCTAGGACCAAAAATCTCTTCATCTCTTCTTCAAAACCGAAACATCAAAGCAAAGGTTAGTTCATACCCCCTTGTTTTCGGTTTTTATATGATTTTTGGGGGAGAATGCAAGTAAAATGCGTAGATCTATGTGTTATATGCATGTCTTGTGTGATTTCTTAGTTTATTTTGTAAAAATGTGTTAGATCTTAACAAATCTCGACATCTTAAGTAACATTGAGTAAAGATCCATGAACTAAGACACTTTATACATTATATTATCAAGTTAAAAGTGTTTGTATGTTTAAGACATAAAAATTTAGAGCAAAAACCTTGTTAAGGGTCAAAATCGTCAAGAAAACAAAAGATAAGGGCAAAAAGTGACATTTACGGTTTTTAAAGGACCAAACAGGTCCTACTTGTATAAAAATGGATTTTTATGATAAACATGCTTTCCGCAGGGCCAAAAATGTAAATTTTAGCTTAATGGGCCAAATATTTGGGCCTCGCGGTTTTGGGCCCAAAATTGCGAAAAATGGAAGTTTTGGGATTAAAAATGTTAATTGACCAAAGTTTAAGTCATAAATGTAAATAAACCAAATTTAGGGGTGAAAATAACATTTATTTCTAAATTGGACCAAAAATGTAACTTTTATCAAAATTGGGCCGAAAGTGTCAATTTTACAAACAAAGGGCTGAAAATGTAATTTTCTGCAAAACTGGGCCATAAATGTCAAAATATAAATTTTTGCATTAAATCCGTGAATTTCTAAACATTTGGGACGAAATTACAAATTTTTATAAATTATGGACTAAAGTGTTATTTTTACAAAACTTTGGGCCTTAATTGAAAATTTGAGGCTTATTGGCCAAGAACGTCGTTTTTACAAAAGAGGACTTTGTATATTCAATCCGGTAAACCTCGAACTAAAACAATCAACGAAATAATAACAAATGGACAAAATACATCGATAATAGTGTTATTTGGCCTAATATTCACGTTACATGACCAATGGGCCTTAAGGGCCCATTCAAGTGTATATTGAGCCCAATATTTTCCATGACATGTTTATTGGGACTTGCGACCCATTTACATGTTAATTTGAGCTTGAGCTATGGGTCACATGTTTGTTGGGCCTTGGTGGTCCACTTACATGCCTATTGGGCCCAAATTACCCTTTTACATGTTATTGGGCCTTTGTGGTCCATTTACATGCTAATTGGGCTTCGACCAAAATCCACATGCTTAGTAGATCGTAACTATACCTTTACATAATTATTGAACTTCGTATACTTATATATATGTACCTTTGGATTTGAAAA